CTAATCTTGGGGGTTGTGCCCTATTTAAAGAACATTACATCCCTTCCCCAGCCTCTTTACTCCCCCACTTGAGATCCAGAAACCCTAAATCGTGAGTGAGAGCCCTTGGAAGCAATTTAGAGCCTAAATAAGTGATTTTGGTGGAAAGGGGCTTGAAGATCAAGAGGCTTGCTGCAAAGGAGTGGTGTAGATCCGGGATCTACTTCAGTTGGAGCATATATTGGAGGTAATAAGCTGTTGCTTTGGCTTTATTGCAAATACATCTATCTTATGTTTGAGATTTGGGACATTTTGGGCATGATTGAGATCTATGTCGAGTTAGAGGCCTAGATCTAAGGTTGCTACCTCAGATCTAGACTTGTGATGGTCCAGAAGGTCATAAAGTCATGTCAATAAGTTGTTGGTGAAGCCCCTTTGTCTTAAACCCTAGCCCTTGAGTGTTTTGGGCCTTTAGCTCCTTGGTTTCACGTAAAGTTTGCAACTTTATGTGGGGGATAGACTGTAGAAGAGTGGATCTATGGATTGGAGCCCCTGCATGGCTCGAAAAGCCACTATATGGATTGAGAACTGGAGAGACTCGGCGAGTCACATTGGTGTACTCGACGAGTTGTATGAATATGTGCATAGACTCGGCGAGTTGGAAGAACAACTCGGCGAGTCTGTTGAAGATTGCCTAGGACTCGGCGAGTCTGTTCTTGGACTCGACGAGTCAAGTCGCAGAACCCCTAACCTCTTCTGGTTAAGACGCAGATCAGTGAGTTGAGTGGTGACTCAGTGAGTTGGACAGGATGGGACTCAGAGATCGTTGAACTTCTGAGTTTAAGGACTCGACGAGTCTTCGGGTTGACTCGGCGAGTCGAGTCAACTGGAAGGTTGACTTTGACCAGGACTTTGACTTTAACCAGAGTTGACTTAGTTTGACTTCTAGAGTTCAGTTTGGAGCTAAGTGTTTTATTGATATTAGTAGCTCGGGGAGCTAGTGGAGCAGCGATTCAGAAAGTGGTCGGACAGCAGCCAGAGGGTTATCAGCAAAGTTCAGCAGTGCGAGGTGAGTCTCCTCACTGTTTGTATGGGTCTACGGCCACAATGCCGACCCATTTAGTTTATGTATGGTAGGAAGACCCGGGGGTTAGCCCTAGGCATTATGCATGAAAGACCAGGAGGAGGCTCCTGGCACACAGTATGTTATTATGTATGGTAGGAAGACCCAGGGGTTAGCCCTAGGCATTATGCATGAAAGACCAGGAGGAGGCTCCTGGCACACAGTATGTTATTATGTATGGTAGGAAGACCCGGGGGTTAGCCCTAGGCATTATGCATGAAAGACCAGGAGGAGGCTCCTGGCACACAGTATGTTATTATGTATGGTAGGAAGACCCGGGGGTTAGCCCTAGGCATTATGCATGAAAGACCAGGAGGTGGCTCCTGGCACACAGTATGTTATTATGTATGATAGGAAGACCCGGGGGTTAGCCCTAGGCAATATGTATGAAAGACCAGGAGGTGGCTCCTGGCGCACTGTATGCTATTGTGTATGAAAGACCAGGGGGTGGCCCTTGGCACTTGTCTGTAAGACCCAGGGAGTGGCCCCAGGCTTGACCAGGAAGACCACGTGCGGCCCGTGGCATAACCGCAAGACTATGTTTGGCACATAACACCTTAGCAAGACTATGTTTGGCACATAGCACCTTACTTGATTATGGATATGTTGGTTATGAATGGCTCTTGGCTGTGTATGGCATGTATGGATCAGTTGGTTTGTATGGTATGTGGTATCTGGGGAACTCACTAAGCTTCGTGCTTACGGTTTTCAGTTTTGGTTTCTGGTACTTTGTTTTCAAGGAAAGGAGCCGGTTCGATCGCAGCGCATCACACTATGTTTTCCGCACATGAGATCTTTGGGATCACACTCTGATATGGTTTTATGATAATATGCTTTGATTATTGACACTTTGGCTTAACACGAGATATTATTATGAATGTTTTATACTGATGGTTTATGTAATAACTTATTTAAAAATGAAATTTTTGGCCTTGAATTTTGGGATGTTACATTCATATTGCAATGTAATGGTTGTCTTTACTTTGATTACTATGATACGATTGTTGTGATACTACGCATGACGTCCTCCGCCCCAGAACGTTTCCGTCGTTCCGGTTTTGGGGTGTGACATCACAAGTTAAATCCACCCCTGCTCCTATCTATTATTTTGTTTTCATTTGTAATTTCAAGTTTGTTTATTTGAAAGATTTAAGTTTTTGCTATGATTTGACGCAGGAAACGATAGAGCTTAAAGGATATGCTTTTGACTTTCAAAATTGACGGATACTGCTCATCATTTATGTTACATAAGGTTGATTTCTATCTCTTATTTTCGTTTTTTCACATTCCTCTTTGGTGGTTGCTTTTTGGAGGTTTTGGATCTGTTTTCTGTTCCGTCTACGGTACTTTACCATTAATCTTTTCTTCTGTATGTTTTGTTCTAAGCTTACTGATTGTGTTTTCTTCCATTCCTCTGTGTTGTGTTCTCAGAAGGAGCTTTCGTGGCTTGCTGTCAGACCTCAGAAACCCAATTTCATGGGTCACCGATTGATCTCTCCTCTTCTACTATACTCCTAATTTCTTCTGCTATACTCCTAATTTCACCAGGTTTGTCAAAAAAAAACTACTGGAAATTGTCGGGTTAATTTTATTTTGGATTCTATGTATACAAGTAGTATTGCTATTGATCATATATGTTCAAGTTAGACCTTTTTTTAATTTTGATTTGCTTTTAGTTTTTATTTATGTTTAATCCGATCTACGTTCATCTGTCACCACTTAGACCATCCGTCTTCACCATTGTCGCCTGCTCTCTCCTTCGACGACACATCCCAGTCTACATCAGTTAAGTAATCTTCTAATTCTAACCTAACTCCTGAGAAGTTGAAAGATTCAAGTTTTCTTTGGACATCTGGATGATGTTATTGATCTGTCCTGGTCCAAATCACACCATTTGCTGTCATCTTCAATGGACAAAACTGTGCGGTTGTGGCAGTTGTCTAGCAAGTCATGTTTGAAGATCTTTTCACACAATGACTATGGTAAGTAAATACATATAAACAAGTAAGTTTATATATGTATTATTGTGTATATATCTCTTTATGAAGTATGATTACTAAGGGTGTATCTTTTTATTACAGTAACTTGCATCCATTTCAATCATGTTGATGAGGATTGTCTACCCAATTATAATATTCTGCCTATAATTTTCTTTCTTAGCATACCAATGAAAATTTCATTACAATTAGATGACCTTTCTATAATTGGTTATATTTTTCCAGGCATGACGTCGCAATGGGAACACATGAAAGTAGGAAGCTATAAAAAATTAAGTGAAGTACATTGCTTTTTCTTGCATTAAGCTATTTTCGTAACTTGCTTATTGACAAAAAGTATGTTTTTTTTTTTGTTATTATCTATTTTCGTAGATGAATGGGAACTTAAAAAAACGGGACTCCCAAAGAAGAGTGGTCATAAGTTGGACCAGAATGTGTATTGGGCGAGATGAACGCATGGAGTTGTATGGGATGCTTTTTTAGGGCACATGCATGAGGTAGTTAACAGATCCCAGAGCCACAAAACAATATAGATTTTCTCTTTGATTGCAAATTGAATCATCAAATGATTAAATATGCATTTGATTCAAATTTTCGACCAACCTGTTTGCTTTAAGATTCTTGAAGATTAGTTACTTGGTATTGTCATCCGTGAGTTGTGAATGATTATTCAGGATGAAAAAAATTAGTGAATTTAGTTGAAATTTGAATGATAAGTGAAGTTGTACACTCATGTTTGTAAAATTTTCTTTTGTATTCTGCTTTGTTGTCAACAAAGGTCTCAAAATAATAAAGTACTTGCATATTCTCCAAAACTTCAAACATAACAGTTCACTCACCCCTTGAAACACATTACTATTACATTTCTTTATATAACTTGTGGTTTTCGGTTGAAAAGAATAGCAACATACTTTACTGTGGCTACCAATTCGGCCTACGTACATTAGTTTAACACAAAATGACACCTTCCGACCCCCGCAACGCAGGGGAAACCCTTCTAGTTTTCAATATAGTTGTTACATGTTTGCCAAATATTTGGTATATGTTTAACACATGCAACTCATCATTCCTAAAATACATTGTCGGCACCGCGACGTGCAACCGAACAAATTACCTTATATGTATGACAAAACAAGAAGCTGTGATATGCTATACTAGTTTAATCAATTTTCACTCTTGATACACAATAAAAACACATAAAAACCCACGGCAAAACACATGCTCAATTAAATTACCAGTTCAATGACAAAAACAAATATCTAACTAATACAATAGATAATTTTATAAAAATATTGAGTATAATATACTTGATGTTGAAATTTGGTAAAGGCATGAAGTTTACCCAAAAAATCAAACATAAATATATTCGAAAAAGATTTTTACACCAAATTACAGACAACATTCGATGGATGCAGTTTGTCTTGATGTAAAAGAATCTCAAACTTCACTAACTTTTCTTTGTATATTATTCTTTGAAACAGCATCAGAATATAAATCAACACCAAAGTGGAAAAAACCCTTTTGGTACTTTGACAATTCTCCCGTCTTAATTTTATGTCCCAAACTGGCTTTTCAAAATTTGCAGCAAACACTTTCAGATGATTTGACTATACAAATATCAATAGTCACCCAAATTTCATATATTTTTTAATCCGGTCGTATGAAATAAGCCATCAATATAACGTGTATCAGATTCAATCTGCACGTCACATTCCTTTACTTTCCTAATAATCGTTAAGCTAGTCAAATAAGGACATTTACCTTCCACACTAGTATACATATATTATTATGTATATGATAATATAATATTTCGTCCTATTTAATAGAACTTTTTACAACTTTTTAACTAAAATTCTTCAACAAAAAGTTCATTCTAAATGAAAAAAAAAAAAAAACAAATTTTACGAGTATTTCCGGGCTCGGTTCTTTATACCGTGTGTCAAAATGCTCGGTAGCTCGGCTTTGTCCTTGGTGAATGCTCTTTGAACATCCTCTTTGAGCTCCACAAATCGTGAACGTTTTATCACTTGTTCTTCTGGTGTCCCCTTTTCAAGAAAATACAAATCAGGCAAATCGTCCAACATGAACTTGTCAAGAACTTCTGAGCAATGAGGGAAGAAACGTCGACCCGTCTCCACTACATCCACAATTAATAAAATGATCTCAATTAGTAATATGTGTTGTTTCTTTTTAACTTGATGGATGAAGACACATGTCTTAATCCAATAAGCTATCTATATATGTACCTGTTTTCAAGAGAGCTTCCATTCGTGATATGAGTCTTTGTTTTTGTATGGATGGTGTCTCGTTCAAATCCATCTCCCTTAAGTTCCCGTTTGAGCCTTTTGTTGCCAATAAACCGGGATAAGCAGATGTTGTTTGTGCATTGGCGATCTCCATTGCTAGTTTTGCTTCGGATGGAAACAACAATCGTGCAAACGCGACTGCAAAAAAAAAAGGACAGAAATCAACGCCCGAAAGGGTACAATTGTAATTTAACTCGAAAAAGTACATACAAGAAACTAGGCATGTTCAAAAATATTTGAATCCGAAAATCCAACAACAAATCATCCCTGATATGGATTTAGATATCAAAATCCAATATCAGAAAATTTCCAGATATCCGGTTTTGAACACAACATACCTCGGTTTTCCAAATGCAACAACTTCATGTGCAAATCATCGGTCATATCCGAAGACGAAACAATCACATCTTTCCCCATTGTATTCCTAATCATTTCCCTTTCCAAAACTTCAATACACAACCGATCCTTATTCGCCTCTTGCCCATGCTCCGTTTTCGTGTTATAATCTTTCGGCCGTGTCAACTGCTTGCAAATCCCAAGCGCGTTTTGCCCATCGCGTGTCGTTTCAAAAACCGATACTTGTTTACTCAAAAGACAAACAATAATAGACGGTTCTTTCCGCATCGCAGCCACATGCAATACGGTGTACCCTCGGGCATTTCGACGGTTCACATCGGCTTGATCTAAATCTATCACTTCTTTCACTACTTTCGGGTCACAGTATGAAACCGCGTAGTGTAGCCCGTGGGCCTCGTCTAGGGTTATGTTTGACTCAGTCAGTAGAAGTTTGACCAACTCGACATCATCCGAATCCAATGCTTTGTGTATTTGTCGGATTCGTTTTTCTCGTAATGCTTCTTCATCGGATTTTGGTTCTCGGGCAGCGGATTCGGGTAGGGTGTTGCGAAGGGATTTTACGTCTCGGGCAGCTTCGGGCGGGAGGTTTTTCTCGAGGGTGATGTCATCGAGGTCTGACCGGGCGACTCGGTGGATGCATTGAGTTAAGATGTGAGTTAACTCGCAGTGGAATGCTACTAGAAGTATTGGGATCACGTCTTCTACGAATGCCTTTTCGATGAAATTAAGAAGTCGTCGCTACATTTCATATGGAAAATGATTTTGCATAAAGTCGTAAAAGCATAATGTTATAATAGAAAGAAATGAAAGTAGTACAGAAATAATACAAAATAGGCGAAGAACAAACATACCTGAAAAAGAGAAACTAATTCGGGGACCTGAAAAATGACTGAAGCATACATCAATTCAACAGCAAACGCTATAGCTGGTCGACAAGCATCATGTGGGCATTCACCATGGATGCATGTTGAAACCTCTGGTGGAGAAGACTTCATTTTTCCAGTATACAGATAATTCAAGAACACAAGAAAAGCATCATATCCAACATTCCCAAATGGCAAAATTTCACTCATGATGTACTTCGATTTCCCATCTTCTTCAACGGAATATTTACTTTCCTTAAACAAATTGCAGAAAAACTTACTTCTAGCTGCTAAAATACACCGATGAATGAAAACATTATTGCCTTCTACTACAATTACTGCATCACTGTAACTTGAACCGAAATCGGAATTGGAGTCGGTTTGGATCAAGAGTTTTTCTAAGTGGCTACTGAGTTTGTTTAAGCTGATGATTTCAAGATTTGTTCGTGTTTCAGGTATTGAAGAAGAAGATATATTGTAGCCATTAGAGCCATTGGAGACATGAGAAGGTGAAGTAAAGCTTAAGGATGATGATGGTTCAGAATAATTTGCCATTGATCGAACTCAAATTTCGTAATTTGAAAAACCCAATTCGGAATCAGGAATTGGGGGTATGCATCTGAAAGATTTGGGTCAAGATTTCTTGAGAAATCTGATCTTTCATGGTAGATGATGATGATGATGATGAAGAATCAATATCTCTACCAATGACGTCACCATTATTCGATTGCAGATAAGAGAGAGAAATGCAAAATCTAGCTATAATGATTTGTACCTGATGCTATGCAAGTTGTCCTGTACCTAATTGCAGAAGGGGAAATGGTGAACTACAGGAACTAAAACCCCTCAAAGGAGTTCAGTTTATCTTGATCATCAAAAACTTGAATGATTCAGAATGAACGAGTAATCTCTGACAAAACCCAGATGAATCCTTTTCACTTGATTTCAATTGCAGCCCCGAACATTAAATTCATGATCATAAACCAAAAAGAAACCGAAAACGACGAAATGCCCAGATCGAGCAATCGATCAGATAACAAACCAAGATGAATTCAGGCTTCAACTGGAGCACGCAACATCAAATCCATCATAATAAAACCTAAAATAACTCCAAAATGATGAACCCTCGACCGAAATATCAATCACAGAAAAAACCCTGATGAAATCAAGAGTTTAATTTCAAGCAGCAAAATGAAAGCCCTCATCAAAGGTCCACAGTAAACTACAAATGACGAATGCCCAGATCGAGGACTCGATCACATAATTAAACCCAGATGAAATCAGTTTCCAAGAACAACTCACAACATCAAATCCGTGTTCAAGGACCTAGAAATAGACCCAAAAATGACAAACTCCTTGAACGAGAAATCAATCACAAACCGAAATTAATGAGAAAAAACCGAGAATATTTGTTGAAGTTGATGAATCAAAAGAAGCTTCAAAAGTCTATCAATTAGCTAGAGTGTGAAAAGCAGGAAATTTCGCAGAGGTTTCGCTGTAAACTGTTGTCGGATTGTGAACAAGGAGATGAAGATGAAGTAGTTGAGGTGACGCAGATAATGACGCCATTGTAGCTTGCTGGGTTTTGCATACGCAGTCAACGTCGTCACACTAGCCTTGTTGTATCGATGAGGTCAAGCGCCTTTAATATTTATTTTTCATTTTGAGTCCCTCATTAACTACCGAACTACACTTTTGGTGCTACAATGTTAGAATAAGGTACAACATAGTCCCTATAAATCAAGGGCATTATGTTCACACTGCATGGAATATTGGAATACTTATACACCTTTTCGCATCACACGATTCCTCTAAGTTTTTTCCAATATTTTTAATTCGTTATTTTATTTTATTTTTTTTTCAAATGGGTCAAGGTTAAGTATAAAGACTAAATTTTTTTAAGATTCAAAATGTACGAGGACTTTGGTTATTTTCTAACTAGGTTACAACTCATGGAACCACGGATAAAAAATTTATAAAACATTTATATTATTAATAAGAGATAATTTTGTTTAAAAATTTTTTATTGATTATTTAAAATTGGAGGACTGAATCGGGTATTTATTTCAAACGTATCAAATTAAATTTAAATAGAGATTATATACCATAAAATTAAATACCATAAAAATTAGATATTAAATGCTGATTTATTTTGAAATTTAAATATTTAAATAGAGATCATATACCATAAATACCATACAAATCGAATATTAAATGCTGATTTATTTTGACTGGTCATTATAGAAGGTGAAATCAAGGAGAAGCAAAAGCAGTATTTAACATTGGATGAAATTAGTGTTTTTGAAGGGACACCTGACAATTTACTTTCGTTTATTAGTTAGGAAGATTAACTTGGTCCTTATAGTTGTTAATAGCATTTTTTTTTTGCGAGGTCTGGTCTGTTGCATGTTCTTTTACAAGTGTATTTTTTATAGATATATTTTTTATTTTGTTTTTTTATATATATATTTTTACAATGTGTTTAACATTTTTAAATTTTTAAGTTCGATTTTATATGTTTTATATTTCGGTTTTACAACTTCATTATTCTAATTAGGGGTGTGGCAACAAAATGTGAGAAACATGTAAAAAAACAAGTAAAGAATTTAAGTTGTAAAATACGAAATAAGAAAATGAAGTTGTAAAACGAATTATAAAAAATATGTAAAAATGAAATTGTAAAAGCGAATTGAGAAAAAAAAACATGTAAAAATGAAATATAAAAATGAATTTGTAAAAACGAATTATTAAAAGTTCATTGACTAGAGAATAATAGAATGTGAAAAAATAAATACAAGAAACGACCAAAGGACCAAATTGACTTTTAAGTTAAGTGACTTTTTTAATTTTAAGCAAAGTTTAATAACTAAATAATAGTTTAAACTCTTCTCCAACGTACTTCATTTTAAATGAAAATGGATACCACTTAAAATATATCAAACTTAACTCAATAACAAAAAATTTGTATAAATGGTCCTCATTTTTGAAAAATCTCAACTGTTGGGTTATGAGTGATCTAAAAAGCCCGCTAAGGTGCACATCGGAAGCACTAAACAAATTAACCTTATATACCAAAATATGAATCCAAGTTCATCGAGATCTAATGCAACAAAACAAGATTTAATGCAACAAAACATAAACAGAAGAAACAAGAAAAACATCTAACATCTCGTAGTCCTTTAAAACCTTTTTAGATCTTGATGGATAATGGATTGCTAAGAGTCCAAAGTAGAACTCCTCTTCCATATCATATTCAAGTAACATATCGGCAAAATCTGACATCACCCAAACCAACGAACACCTTGAACGTCAAAGCAGATTATGGATTCGACACAGGTGCGCCGTGTGAAGCCCTAGACGCATTGCGTCCATTGGCGAATCTAGAACCAAAATCAACGTGGTTCCTTATATAAATGAAATGGAAAAAAGTATGAAAATGTAGGTCTTTTGGCAAAAATAAGGTAGTTCCTTATGTTTTTTTATATATAATTGTTGTATTAAAAAAGAAAAAAGGTAGGTCCTAGGACCCACCTTCAAATAGTGTAGCTACGCCCCTGATTGCGTCCTTTGTAAAATCTTAGGCGGCGTTTGGTTTGCAGAATGTTATTGAAGGAATTAGAATCTGTTAAGGAATTGGAATCTGCTAGGAATTGCAATCAAATTCCGTATTCTGTTTGGTTGGCAGGAATGAAATTTGAATCCAATTTCATATTATGTTTGGTTGACAGAAAATAGAACTGAAATAATATGAAATGACAAAATTGCCTTTTTTTTTTTTTTGCTTATTTTTACTTTTTTTTATAACTTATATGTAAAAGTATATTATATAAATTATAAAATTAGTAAATGATGGTGATGGTGGCAGTGAAGTTGACGGTGGCAATAGTGGTAATGATGGCGATAGAGGTGATGGTGGGTAGTGGCGGAGGTGATGACGATGGTGGCGGTAGTAATTGTGATGGTGATGGTGGCGGTCATGAGTAGTGGTGGAGGTGGCAATGGTGGTAGTAACGTTGGTGGTGATGAAGGTGGTGACGATGGTGTTGGTGGTGGTGGCGGTGGTGGTGGCAGTAATTGTATGGTCGTGGTGGCGAGTGGTGGTGGAGGTGAAAGGTAGTGTGGTGGTATAGGTGGTGGTGGTGGGTGGTGGGTGGTGGGTGGTGGTAGAGGTGGTGTGTATCGAGTGGTGATGGCAGTGATATGTGGTGGTGGTTGTGACGGAGGTGGTGATAGCGGTGGTAGTGATCGATGATGGTGGAGGTGACAGTGCTAGTGGGTGGAGGGTGGTGGTAGCGGAGTTACCAGTGCTGGTGATGGTGGGTGGCGGTGGAGGTGATGGTGGGTGGCAGTGGTGGTGGTGTGTAGCGGTGGTGATGGGTGGTAGTGGTGGCGACAGAAGGGTTTCATATGTAGTGTTAAAGGTAAAATGGGTAATATGGTAACATTCAATATTCTCGCTTGAAAGGAATTTTAATTCCTTAAGTTTTTGGATGTAATTTATTTTCCCTCATTGGAAGGAAAATTTGACTCATTTAGGAATCCAATTCCTTTTGAAAGCTTGAACCAAACAAAGGAAAGTGATGGAATTAGATTCCAATTCCTTCTAATTCCAATGGATTCTAGCGAACCAAACGACACCTTATGGTTTTAAGAATCAGAAAGAGGTTGCCAAATTTATGGTTTGGATAGTGAAATCTTTATCATCAAATCTGACCATTGACCCCTCTATTTATAGGGGAGGGTTTTTGAACTCTTAGGGATAATTACTTGGTCACTAAGTAATTACTCTAATTTTGGTAATTATCCTAAAAGATTTGACTTTCAAATATTTACACTTTAAACCCCTTAAGTCTACAAGTTTCTTATTAATTAATTAACCCTTAATTAATTAACAAACTAGATCCTAATAAAACTGTCATGTCATTAGTTGGTTATTTATGTCTTTGCGTGTAACCCAAAAAGACCCTACGATTAATAGTAATATTACCAAATGTTGTTACTACGGACATTATATCCAACATTATATAAAAAGTTATATTGTTACATTTAAAAACAAAAATAATGTATGATGTTTTAAAAAATTACAACATAAAATTTAAAATGTTAAGCAAATTTTTTTTTTGAAAAGTAATTAATCATAACAACAATGTTATATGTAATATAAGGTATAGAACCATAAAAAATGACTTCATTTTGATTAAAAACACATTTTTTTCATTGTTAGCTTCTTTCTATTGTTTTTGAACTTGTCTTATTTTTTATTTTGTGATTTATACCCAACACCTATGTATTTCGAATATGTTTTTTTAATTACTAGACGTCTAATAGGCTTCATTGATGGGTTCTGAGCACAGTCAAAGACAAAGAATATGGGCACTGAAAACAACAATTATGATCCAATAAATCGAAACTAACAAATCTAACTCAATAAATCTATGCAACTTGTAGGACATGATAGATCGAAACATACCTTAGATTTCTTGGTGGGTTTGTTCTTTTGACAAGCCAGTTGATTTAACTAAAGAATCTAACGAAGAGTCTCTCTTCTGTAATCACACCCAAAACACAAACCTCTAGCAGATTTAAACAAAACTCGAACACCAACAGCAAGCAGATCTGAAAACACGAATATGCGTTTGACCACATCATGGCAAGCTAGTAACTATGTCGTGGGAACCGGGCTTCAACTATTATAGGTTTTTTTAGGGTTCCAAAATTTGGTAACTGGAAGTTATATTTCACATCTGTTAAAACTAGATTTGGAGCCCTCTATATATAGGGATGTGATTTGAAACCCTACGGATAATTACCAAATATAATAATAATTATCTATGGAATTCAAATCATTTTGGAATATTCTATATGCCTTTATTTTTCTAATTAACTAATTAAACTATTAATTAATTAACAAAACAAGTCCCTTATATAAATATTTTTTCAGTTATGTTGGAATTTGTTCTGCGTGTAACCCAAAAGGACACTCTTATTTATAGTAACTAGGTTATAACCCGTGAAAACCACGGTCTGTATATTTAAAAATTTTAAATAGATAAAAAAATAATAAATATAAAAAAACCAAGATATTGTCGATTGTAAGTAATTATTAATTAATTTGTTAAGCAAAATATACATAATAATGTTATCAGGATATGATTTTGTATTTTTAAAATTTGAATTGAATTTGATTTGTTACAAAAAAAAGGAAATAATAAAAATTATAAAAAATGACACGTGTCAAAGAGACATTCTAAAAAACTGACACGTGTCATTTTTAGGTTTCATTTATTAGAAAAGGTAGATATTAACGAGTTTTGTTGTGACTATGGGCAATAATCTCCATCAGTTCCCACTTGCACTAGGAATCAACAATTGACCAGTCTAATACTAACTAGAGGCATCAATGAGTAGCAGTCCAATGCAACTATTGTACTTATAAAAAATATTCTATAAACAACCCTAAGACTAATAACTTCAAATTCCTTTGATCTTCATGACATCTTATTTTGAACTAGAGACATGGATCAAGAGTCAATCTCATGGTTCAATATTATGTTTCCCGATAACTTGTGGTGACCCTTCAGAGTGACTGTCAAATCTAATCAACCCAGTCTTAACATGGCCAAGAATTTGTTGTCAATATCAAATTAATGAGGGGCCCAAAGATATCTACTTCTCCATTTATGGCAAAAGTATCAAATAAA